ATATTGTTCATATCTTATTGTTTTACCTAAAGGGAGATAAATGTTAATTAGATATCGGTGTATTATCTTTCAGCTTGTCTAAGACTCGGGGCAATCTAGAGCTTTTTATTGTATATGTGTAAAGACTGTATACAACGTTGACCTCTAAATGCCTTTTGGAATTTGTATTGTTGGATCATTGACAGATACTTCAGAGGAGTAACTTTTAATTGCGTTAGTCACAAGCCTAAGTCTAAAATATTGAAGTTCAAAATCTCGAACAAATTTAGCAGCACTTTACAGAAACAGAAAACGGGATAAAAGACATTTCATGGGATATTGGTCTCCTGTATTTTCTCATCACATCCTTCATTTTACCTCAATATTGTAATATTTATAATTTAAATATTAATTTAACACAAAACATGATTTTTCAATTAAACAAAAAACATATATTTTCTACAACGGATATGATTTCTTCATTGTAGACACAATCTCGCCCTCCTCTCTTCTTTGTTGACATACCATTTAACTTCAAAAATACATTTAAAAGATCCTGAAATATTGGACGTAACAGACCACACTAACCACAAACAGTCGACTCCTCCAAAAACATGAATGTACGAACATAGACAAACAGCAATGAACAACCCAGGGTTAATATAGGCTCATTTGGTACAGGCTTAATCCAGTTTTAACATGTTTAACGAGTTCGTTTTTTTACTTAAACTCATCACCCGATATAAACCTTAGAAAAAGGTAATGCCGATGTTAAAAAACCTTAATTGAAAATATGTAACTGTGTGTGATTCTTGCACATCGCAATTAAAAGCAATGTTGGATTTTAGTTGTAAATAAAAAAGTGTATATAGCTACTTTTTGAATTTACCTTTTAAGGCTTGCCTTTTTTATATATTACCTGGAAACGTACATCACTTTTTCTTCGTCTTTAATATACAAAGTCATAATCCTATTGCAATACCTAGTTTCTGCAAACCGGATGTCTCAACAAATTGCACAGACCAATCGCAATAAAAATTTAAGTACTCAGTTTGCTTTATAATCTGGATGCATATCTTCTATCTTTTGAATCTTCATATTTTGTTTCCTGGATGCCTTAATTATTATCATACTCATTATTTAAGCTGTCTGTACTCGTGGTAGATATGGTACAGAAAAAGAAATTCAAATTCACATTTCCATGTGGAATGGAACTCTGTGTCATGCAACTTATAAGAAGTTTTTTTTTATTTGAGAGTAACACACCAGCTTCATTGGGACCTCTTATATACTGACAATCATTTTGGTCACATAAAACATCTCAAATTTTAAGGATTTCTTGAAGTCATTTTAATCAATCCAAATATTCTACAGGAAAAACCTAGTTTTGAAGAATATCTTGTTTTCAGAAGTTTTATGAATACCTGAACATCCTCTCAAAAGTACCAATTTAAATAAAAAGATATGTAGAGATATAATGAATACTAGGATTAAAATGATGAAAGCCAGACAAGTTTTTTGTCTACAAAAAACTCATCAGTGACGATCGAATAAAAAAAGTTAAAAACATGAACAAGGCCAAATTAAGTACGAAGTTGAAGAGTATTGAGGACCCACATTTTCGAAACAAAGGTTTTGCCAAATACATCTAAGGTAACCTATTCGTGGGGTAGAAAATCCTCAGTATTTCGAAAATGTCAAAGTTTATACATGTAATAGGAACGTCACTCAAAACAAAAAGAAAAAGAAAAAAAAAAAAACAGCTTAAAGTCAGAATATCTAAGTAATGATGACCATGATTCAAAGTTACATGCCAAGTTCTTACTGCAGTGTCCTGAATTTAGTAAAGAACTGCGAACATTCTCATTCCGCGATTGAAACTAATATTTATGCAATCCCGTGGTTTTCTTGTGCAAGAAATAGTAAATGGGAAGCATACGCACTGATACTCTAGATTATAATACGCATTTGTGTCATCATATATATTTATTCTAGGCTGAAATCTAATGTTAGTTGTTTCGGAAGTTAAACTACCTACCTCAAGCGTTTTGACTAAGGATTCATTGCCATTATCTTGGTGTGAACGCAAACCGATGTTGCGTCGTGTGAATACGGTGTAAAATAATGTAAACGTGCAAAGACGTGTGTAGGATAGCTGGTCAACGCAATGAATGCAATTTTCAAAAACGCACCATATTGGTCGGTCTTCCATTTGATCAACCATTGGGGAGTTATACGACAAGAAAAAACTTAAAATATGTATTATCTATTATAACATAGCTCTGATTCCTTTCCGGGTTCAGCTAACTTTGGGCAATTTTGGTTGTATTACCTCTTCAATATTTGCTCTAGGTTTTGGACTTGAAATATTTTAGCCACAATCATCACTGATGGAACATTAATTGTCGAAATGCAATAATTGGTACCGTTAACGGATTTATCACCGTAACGATAAATTACTAAACTTATCGCGTTTCAAGTTCTTAAGTACATGTCATGAATAAGTTGGTCTTATAAAGCGCTTAAAGATTCTCAAATTACTAGTTAAAATTCAACTATGTTGAACAATGCACTAATTTCAATACGACATTATTACCAGATCTATGATTAATATTTTGGAATTTTCTATGATGATTACTTATGAAAAATAGGCCAATTATCTCTGATCTTACCACAATGGGGAAGAAATATAAAATTATACAAAGAATTTTCAGATTGCATTATTGCTTTTCAAAAAATAAATCACAAACTGACAAATGCCATTGTTGTGTCGCACTATTTGTCTTTATAGACGTTATCATTTCATGTTTTCGTTGACATACATTGATTGCTATCAGTGTTGCTGCTCAAATTTGCAGATTTTTTTTATTTTTATTTTGCCTGCATGTGTTTATCGACAACCCATACCTATAAAGTTTGCTGTATGTTCATGCAGCTACACTTGACTTGATTTTCATTTTTCGTTTTTATTTTCACAAAATATATCTTTGAATGAAATAGATAAAATTGATTATATGACCTAAACATTTTTAATAAGTCAAGTAAAGCATCTAGAGTTTAATGTATAGTTTCCGAATAATAAGGAATTGGCAATACCAAATATGAACTGAAAGTTGGTTGAAATATGAACAGGTTAAACAATGCATCATTACGTTCTGTTTCATTGTAAGCTGTATGTAGTAATTAGTTATATATATAATAATTTGAAAAGTGCATTTTTGGATATGATTCCATTGGCTTTCTTCTCTTTTTAGTTCTACCAATCAAAGATGAAAATGGGGCATGTCAAACACATATATTATTTGGCGTTTCTATTAATATTTATATATGGACTATCGGTATATTCCGGATTTTCCAACTTAAAAAAAAACTTCTTTTCATGCAAACAGATATTATCATCGATAGCTCTGTATGATTAAGTGCGTTTTAAACCAAAAAGTTGTAAAGTGGTAAATTCTAGTCCTAAGCAAACCCATAGCATGTTGAAGTAACAAAAATAATAATTCTCAAGTTGAAAAAGATTACAAATTACTTCTTTTTATGCTAAAAAATATCAAGAGCTAGGTATGATTCCATGCATTTCAAAACCAAAGACGTTTAAAGTGTTAAATTCTGGTTCTACGCAAATCCGTTGCATTTAAAAGTAACAACAAAACATATAACCGAGTTTAGAGCCAGACAAGTTTGTCCTTGTATGGTAACGCATTTTGCTTCAGAACGTTATCGTTTTTTTTTGTTCATAAATCAATGACTACAAATATCTTGATCAATTAATATTTTATCTAACTTTTTTCTTATTAACGCAAAAATACAGACCATGCGTTGCAAGAAAAAAAATATTTACAGTAATATCATTTACAACGTTTATGAATTGACCCTAAAATACATCTTTATAGCTTATACGCCTTGGTGGTCTCGGTTCTCCCAAAAAGAACGGGAGGTCTAAGGTTAGACCCCCGACCTGATTAACAAAAGATAATTGGAGTCTACTGCTGTTCTTTTAAGCACGCGCTATGTGGTTGTAAATACAGTTTGGTCGGCTTGGGTATTGAAAAACAAGTAAGGTGACTTGTTTTCCTGTGGACTGTAAATGTGAAATAGGCAATAACAAATTCTGTTCAGCGTGTTGGTCTTCTCCAAAGAGGGGATTATATGCATATAACATTAACGTTAACGTTTTCGTTTTTTGACAAGCATGATATATTTGCAACGGGATTTTAAACAACAATAATCTAGTAATAGAGTTTTAAGTTTAAGAGCTTTATGGACCGCCAAAACATTAAACTATCATTTTAGTCCTGTGGTAGAGTTTTCCCACAGTGCAGTTTATTTTGTAAAATCGCGGTAAAGCGTGATTTTCCGTTGTTTTTTTTTCGTTATCAAACACGGGAACATTAATCATTTCCTGAATGAGGATATCAGCAAATATGTGCTATGAAATAAAAACACTTATGTATCAGCTTTCATTTGATATTAAAATCAAATCTATTATAAAAAATACAAATAGAGTGAACTTGAAGAATTACGATTTCATGTGACATTTTTTTCAATCTTACCGGCTGTCAAAGTATATTACATTTCTTACATACATCAACCGTAAAATTGAGAATGGAAAAGGGGAATGTATCAAAGAGACATTAACCCGACCAAAGAGAAAAAAAAACCGAAGGCCACCAATGGGTCTTCAATACAGCGAAAAAAATCCCGCACACGGAGCCGGAAATTCAGAACCGCCAAATCTCCCAAACTTCAAAAATGTTGAAAAGTTTAGTCCGTGTCATTACTGTTGCGTAACATGTCAATCTTGTTGCAAGATAGATATCTTAGTCTTTTGCTTTCTGGTCGTGTGAAAAGTGTTATTTTTATTCGTCGCCCCTTTTTATTCCATGGACCATGTTGGCAATATTTTTGCAAACAAATTTGCTACCAATCCCTTAGTACATGATCCTTATTTTACGTGAAAGATGTAAACTTTTGAAAGAATATGATTTTCTTTCTTTCTTTCTTTTAATTTCCCCCGACGTAGGCACAAACATTGGTATCTTCTATAGATTTTCATCAATCTTCAAATCATGCGTATATCACAATACAATTTCAAATACGTTTTTTTTTCAACTGAAATCCTGAAACAAATAAACTCATCATTTATACCAGGATTACAATTGTGTACGCCGCACGCGCGTTTCTTCTACAAACGACTGACGAGTGACGTTCGCATTTAATAGTTAAAGGCCAAATAAAGAACGAAGTTGAAGAGCATTGAGGAACCAGAATTCTTGAAGGTTTTGCCAAATACAGCTATGGTAATCTATTCCTAGGGTAGGAAATAATGATTGTCAGGGATAGAAAAAAAGAGGATTGTCGATCTATAATATCTTTTTATGCAGACAGTTTTGTTGACAGGTGATAAATATTATTACCATTTCACATGGCTAAGTTGGTTTGTCGTATATATCAGTGGTCATGCCGGGGTCATGTTTTTTATATGACACGAATGAATAATCTCCTTCAACCACCGAAAAAGACATGTCATATAATTCGTTTCCATCATTGCAATTTCCTTTCCGAAAGGCTGCGCTATCGTATGTAAGGCCATCTTCATTTCGATATGCGCCTTGAATATGGTACACATTATCTGGTGGACAAATTCTTCGATTTTGTTTATCATGTAAAAGATCATATTCTCCATTGGCTGCATCAGTATATGTCTCGTTCATATTTTCCGGTTTATTTATGTTATTTACAGCGGAATATACTAATATGCGCATTTCACAAGAGTCATTAGTCTTCGTTGATGCTAATGCTGTACTCGTTCCTTTAGTTGTATTCGTTAAATCTCTGTTGCTTGTCTTTGAAAAGTGCAATTGACTAGTTTCTCTATTCTCATGTTTATCAGATTCGTTAAAGATTCCCTTTGACCTAAAAACAAAACAAATATTATTGCATAAAATAACATCTACAATTGATCACATTACGATATAAGAAAAATAAGAAAAAACTAATTAATTAGTATTTTTTTTAGCAAATTGCAAAACAACACAATGCGATCAAACCTCGCACTTAAATGGTCAGTAACTGCTAGTAGTCTTTTGTAAATGTATGCATCATTTTGATTAGTTTCTATTGTTACTTATTCTGACATCGGACTCGGACTTCTTTTAAACTGAGTTTTACTGTACGTTTTGTTGTGTGTTTGTTTAATCTACATTGGTTAAAGATATAGGGGAAGGGTTGAGATCTCACTAAACATGTTTAACCCCGCCGCATTTTTGCGCCTGTCCCGAGTCAGGGGCCTCTGGCCTTTGTTAGTTTTGTATGTTTTTTAATGTTAGTTCATTTATATGTTTAGGAGTTTAGTGTGACGTTCATTTTCACGGAACTAGTAAACATTTTAGCTAAGGAGCTAGCTGAAGTCCACCCCCGGGTGCGGAATTTTTCTCGCTGTGTTAAAGACCCATTGGTGGCCTTCGGCTGTGTTTTTTACTCTTTGGTCGGGTTGTTGTTTCTTTGACAAATTCCCCATTTCCATTCTCTATTTTATTTTGCACTTTTTTAATTCGCACGTTAACGGTGAACCTTAAGCAGACGAAACATACGTCTGGCGTACACAATTTTAATCCCTGTATTTTTGGTGAGTTAGAAATAAGTTTATTTTACTAATAGCATGTTTTTCCAATGTGTATTTATAAAACACACTTCCTATGTAAATATAGATCTTTTTAGTCAAGGATTATGATCTATATAATCCATTTGTATTCTTGCCCTAAATGATTATGCTTTTTTGTTTCATCGTCTTATGTATAATTACTTCATGTCTGTATAACCACTGAAATGAATATACTGAGAATTATTTACTATTTTTTGTTTAGAATATACAGATTTAACAATTCATTCGAAAATGAAATTGCAAAAAAACATGAAATAATGCGATATTATTAACAAGACTATTCGGTTTCAAAAAGCACTTTCCCACAATGTATAAACTATCCTTTGTAAGTCAAAATGTTTTTAGTAGTTGCACAAAAATGTTACTCACCTTATTTTACATACAATCAATACTGTTGATACAGTAAGTATAAAACACGCACCTAGAATTCCGCCAATCACTGCACCTGAATGAATGTAGCATATATTTAAAAGAAAAAAAAAGAATAAGCTACATGTTACACAGAAATTAAAACATACCACATCAAAGTTGATTTTCAATTATTGACATGAATACATCTAAATATAACAAATATGTCAATGATACAGCAACCTTTTTACACAATACTAAAGGAAGGGTCTCCATAAACAGATAATTGATTTCCCATTGTATATTACGAACACTTATATGCAAATGTCTGCAAATATCTTGTACAATTTTAAAACAAATTAACTTATCACTCAACAAGTGCAAACTTATGCATCTTTAATTATCCTGAAAACAGGTGATGTTAAGCAATTTTCTTTTGAATTTTAAACCAAAGATGGCAACAACAAAAACAATTTGCAATCAAAAGAAAAACCAAGGAAGTTTTGACTCATTGTTGAATCCGTTTACTGAATACTGCATGTGTTTCTGTGTGAAAAAAATAAAAGCTGAACATTCTGATAGATTTGATTATTTTAGACAGTAAACCTATGCAATTTAATTAACATGAAATTAAAATTGAGAATGGAAATGGGGAATGTGTCAAAGAGAAAACAACCCGACCATAGAGCAGACAACAGCCCACTGCCACCAATGGGTCTTCAATGCAGCGAGAAACTCTCGCACCCGGAGGCGTCCTTCAGCTGGCCCCTTAACAAATATGTATACTAGTTAAGTGATAATGGACGCCATACTAAACTCCAAATAATACACAAGAAACTAAAATTAAAAATGATACAAGACTAACAAAGGCCAGAGGCTCCTGACTTGGGACAGGCGCAAAAATGCGGCGGGGTTAAACATGTTTTTGAGATCTCAACCCTCCCCCTTTACCTCTAGCTAATGTAGAACAAACAAACGTACAACAGTACGTACAGTAAAACTCAGTTTAAAAGAAGTCCGAGTCCGATGTCAGAATAGGTATTGTAAATCTTTGCCTAGAAAGTAGTATATAGTTACCAATATACACATTTTCAGTTCGTTTTCGACTTGTGAGTTTGAATTTCCCGCTGGTAGTAACGTCTCTCTTTTATATATATTTTACACTCACCTGTTGATGTTGTGATATTTTCTTTATCTGCTGGAATATTTCGTAATCCTGGTTTTGTATTAACAAGGGACGCTTCAGTTGTATACATGGTGTACAAAGTACTGTCTAAATTAGAGGAAAAATGAAACGAGTGTAATGCTAGTATTACACTAGAAAATAAGGGAAATCATCAACTATGAAGAATATATACTTATACCAAATTCATAGACACGAATGTGGATTGACAGATCTTTTTACGTAAAAATTGGCATTCATGATATAAGAGTCGAGCATGTTATTGCCAGCTTTATTGTTATTACATTTAAGGGTTGTACTGTATACATGTTTCACTAAAAGAACGCTCATCAGCAGAATTTTGATCATAATGGTCATGCACAGTTGTATACTTAAAACAATATATGAAAAGATACGCATACACTCATATAAGGCAATCTTAAATAGTAAAATTAAGAATCTATAATGCTTTATTATGCAAAGCATATTGATACCCAAAGGATACAGTTGTAATGTAATCGCATTTGTCAACATGTCATGAACGAGGTAATGATATGATAGATACACATCCGTGTTTTCTAGTGATGAAAAAAAATACGCGTTTCGTTCTATGTGTGTTTCAATAAGATCTGATTCGACAAATCGTCAACTTTTGTAAATGTTAAGATTCGTATATCAACCCATAAAATTGCTTAAACTAAGAGCCGTGTATCAATGAATGAATAAATAATTTATTAAAGTGCAACCTGAATTGACATAATATAATATACAAATGTTATGCTCCTTTATATTTTCAACAAGCCTTATAGGCTTACGATGCACTGTCATTTTAAAACATAATTATACATGTAGATACATTTGATTTGATATGAGAAAAAAATTTAACAGTTTTTACGTAGTGTAGTTTTGGTAAAATAAAAGTGTTTATATAACATCTTGTCTTATCTTTAAACAGTCTATGACAAAGTTTGCCACCGTTTTCGAGTTGCTCGTTAACAGTTCTTTTAGTGCTTCTTCTGGGGAGTAAAAGTTAACAGAAGTATGTTCTTGCATAATTTCGTTTCTTCTAGCGGAGTAACGGTCACACAAAACCTAAGGGTGGTTTTCATCTTCGATCAAGTTCGAAAAGCACACTTTGCAGATTCTCTGTTCGGCTGGAATATTTCAATATCGACCTCGTTCGATTTCTAAGGGTAGTGTACTGCATCGAATTCTAGCTGTAACTGATTGCTGATTCTGGACAAAAACTTTTTAACATACGGTTCAGTACAAAATTCGGTCTTAAATAACTTATATGTTCTTAGTTTTGGCATATTCTGAACATTAATAATCCATTCGCTTTTGAAGTTATCTACAAGTTTAGTTTTAACGGAATCAATTACATATTTTGTTGAAATGGTATCGTGGTTGTTGGTACTGTTAATTAAGGCTGATAGACCACTATTGTTCAAAATTGTTTTAACACTGTTGAATCAGGTATTTTTGTAGCGTGTCGAAAGATCGGCATCCCAAAGGAATACTTTGCGACTTTGTATGAACATGTAAACACTTGTCGAGGTTGCATATGTGTTTTTATTTCTGTTGGGTTAAACAATTAACATATTGGAAGCAACTGGAAAGTGCATTGAATACTAACAAAAAGTTAAAAAAAGACAGAGAGAGAAAATCAAGGAGAATAGTGATTGTCTGGAATTGATACACCATATCCTCCCTTTTTTCCAGAAATAAACCAAGTTAATATACACACGCGGATTCACAAGACTGGTTTACCCCGAAAAAAAATATTTAGAAACTGTCCCTCCGAATTCCAATACAAAATAGTTAATAAACATGCATGTTAATGAGAATACGAAATTTTTATTGGCAGACAAAAATCGCGATTCATACTGAATTCATAATGTATTTCCTGATGAAATGCAACTTTCATGACTGAACGTACTTCTCATGATACCATCACTTCAATGCATAGGAAAAGAAATACAACGCTTCATATAACTTCTAATTTTATTACAAAAGAAACATTTAATTCTGAGATACAAAAACATATAATCAATCAGACAATGTATACGATTGAACAAATGCATTACAAATAAATCTTTAGAAAATATCAATATAGGGAAATCTTTGAGAACAAGTTTGAATACACGATCATTTGGTATATGCCCACACGAAACAGATTCTCATTATATATCTACTATATTCGTTGTCGATATATTCTCTATTTCAAATATCTGCTTTCTATACATTAACCCCCAAACTGGCGTAATGACATTGGCGATAATGCCTTGCTAAAAGGCAAAATTGTGCTTCATACAAGTCATTTTAAATAAGCAAAAGTTGGATAAATATTTAGTGTTGTAAGAATGTCGTCCCTCTTTATTGGCACGAAGCAATTGGTTATCAACCACTGGGGTTTACATCTTCCATAATAGACTTACTTTCTTTGGCACTAGACTTTACTTCTCTGACATTCGATAAAAAATATAACTACTTATATGTATGACACCTACAGTGATATGCTGCGTTTTGTCTGTTATATAAACGTAAATAGCATAAAAAACAAGCCATTGGTGTCGAACGTTGCATTTCTATTGATAAACACGACCACCAACAATAACACATTTGTTATCAATAGATCAAACCGAGCATCATGATACTATACTTATAAGGATATGTTACTTGATTCAAAGGGGACAACTATCCAACAGAGACGTAGATGAACTCAACCGTGGGTAATCGTAAGGACTTCAAAATTAATCCAAACCTATACCTTAGTGCAATTTTCAAATGCACTAGCATCACAAAATCTTACAGTATTTATACGAGAAAACATATACAAAAGCATTAAAAAAAATATGACCAATAACATATGAGAAAGTAAGCTAGATAGAACTTTTTGGTTGAAAATGTTTTTAGTCCTTCCAAGATCTATGTAGAACAAAGTTTTTGGTATTTCTTTACTTAAGAAAATGCGAAAAATTGAAAATATTTTATTGTAAAAAAAAACTCGAATGTTTTAATTACTGAGAGAAAATATGTTAAAACATACCATAAGGCATTTTTTGTTGATAGCAAACAAAAGGGTAAAACATGCTACACAGAGGAACAAGTGATTAGTATGCTGGAGATTCTTATCGACAACATTTTTGTTGAATTTGGAGGTAGACATTTTCAAAAAATTGTCGGCATTCCTATGGGAACGAACTGCGCGCCTCTCCTTGCCGACCTCTTCTTATTTTCATATGAATCGGAGTTCCTTCAGACACTTGTCAAAAACAAGAAGATCAAAGAAGCCAGACTATTTAATTAGTCACCAGTGTCTGAGCAGAAATTTGATGAACCAGGGGTATGTCAAAGAACGTCTCGTTCTTTTTCTAAAAAAAGTTCATCGAAAGGTACCAAGACCTTATTGATAAATATTCCGTATCAACTTCACAAATAATACATGATGGTCTTGAACTATAGATTCTGCGTACTGACGCTGTTTATAATCTTAATAACGTGTTAAAGTGTTCTTTTATTTGTCTTTATTAATATTACTTTTACTGTTTGCTCTGTTTTTTTGGTGATAAACATTTGACGTGGCTCTATACTTATGCATCCCGTCATTGTGTTGTTTGTATTATTTTTCATTTTTACTTGTGTGCTTTGTCCGTGTGACTTTTCATGTTTCTTTGATACATATGACGTGTCTCTGTACTTTAAACATCCCGCCATTGTGCTATTGTTCTATTTTTATTTTTGCATACTTTGAACGACAAAATTATTTTATACCTCTACCTGTGTGACGTTTACATTCTGATGTCAAACACGCGATTCTACGCCAGAGTTAATGTTAAAATTACGATTCGGCCCAATGCTTAAAATCCCTCGATCCTTTATGGGTTGATTTGGCATACATAAATGAAATACAAAAATAAGTAAGCAATGAATGAGGTTGTTAAATGTGATATATGCTTTTTTGTGCTTCTTTGTTAAATATTTGTTTGTTTTTGTTGTGATCAAGATTGTGACACGGTGTTGACTGCTGTACCCCTATATTGACATTTTTACCTATTATGTCTGTTTGTTTTATTCACGCATCGTTGTCAATATAATGGAATTTGATGCGACTGTCATACAAGTGAGAGGTTTAGCGCTTTAAAACCAGATTCAATCTACCATTTTCTACATAGGAAAATGCCTGTACCAAGTCAGGAATCTGACAGTTGTTGTCCATTCGTTTGATGTGTTTGTGCTTTTGATTTTGCCATTTGATTACGGACTTTCCGTTTTGAAATTTCCTCGGAGTTCAGTATTTATGTGTGATTTAACTTTTTAATAGTTTATGCGGTATTTGTAAAATTGAGGTATGCAATGTTTTGTATTTGTGTAATTTTTTAATTTAGGTTGGAGTTAAGGTATATCAACAGTCGTATGTAGGAAAATTCGGGGTGGATTTTGTAAAAAATATTCAAATAAATGAAGAACATTATTAAGTAGAGGTAGTCACCATGCATTGATTGTATGTTTGTACTTCACTACAACTGGAAGAAAATTGATATCAAATTAGACCATTCTTATTTTTGAATTAGCGTCGTCTTCTTAAACGATCATATACATGTGTTTGTTTCATTATAATGATTACAAAAACTGCTACTAACAGATTTAGTTATAAGAAAAATTATCTTTGAATTTCTGCCATTGTTATGGTCATGTGAATACAGATAGATCTTATCATTCTTCGTTGATATGTCAGGATATTAAACATCTGGGAAACGGTTTTGGACCTTGTCACTTGTGAGCAAAAATAAAGCCATGTGGCTGCTAACTAAAAGTGCTGCCACAAATAGAAAGATATAAATATGACACAAATTGTCTCAAAATATGGCTAATTTTTTATGTCAGTTTCTCATTAATTATTAATTGTTAGGATCGTTTTTGTTTTGAAATATCAGCAAATGACAAATATACAACATTCCTAACATTAGCAGTTGAATTTTCCAAAAGAATAATTCGTTGTGCTAGCTAAAGGAAGATTCGGTTTTTCCAGTTCGTTTGACCTTTCTATTAAACTATAAAGAACTCTAATAACCAGCAACATCTGTGTATCGTTTAGACACACAAAAAAAGCATTTAATCAATTACACATACTTACTTGTTTTGCATATATACCAATTTTTATTTTCGTTGCACTTGTGTTCTGTCATGTGTAATGTTGTTTGTCCTTGCACGAGGGTAAATACTCCAAAAATACATCGGTCTGGATCTTGACTGACGTCTAAAATAATGTATATATGTTTCAAGCGAGGTTTTAGTTGTTTTATATTATTGATTATAGTTAAAACATTTCTTTTTACCATTACATAATAATTAAAGATAATATCCATAACGTTTCATCCTGACCGCTATTGGCAATATTTAGCATTTGCTTCATAAACAGAAGTTAAATTACGATACCCTTTTCATTTTGAAACGTAACAAGATGTATAAAATTTTAGTTGTTGCAATATGTTTCAGATATAACAATTTACAGTGTGATTTGGAGGACATATTTTCAGAATTTATTTCTATTTATTAAATTAAAAATCATTATCTATACCGCTGAATAAATATTTACATGATTTATTACCATCATAGGCATTGAAAGTAATGCTCTCTCTAACACAATTCATTTCCAATAGTTGAAATTCCTTAAATAGTTAATATTTTTACTCTGCACGGGTATATCAATATGTTTATTCCGTCGACCATGACTGAATTATCAAAATATCCTTTTTTGGCAGAAAAAAAATCAACTCAAGGCAACAAGACAAGCAAATGTATCTGATTTCGTTTTATCGGACGTCCTAAGATGACAGCTTGATTCGGAGCTTAATATTACGTCCGACAACGTTTTTCAGTACATACATTTCAAGACTTTATTTTGTAGTCTTCAATGTTTTTCACTTTTACGTTTTTCAATGCAAACTTTGTATCGCATATATCGACAGATGGAAGAAGAGAAGGTTGATTCCTAAATAATAAAGTTAATCAGCAGCCAAGGATTTACCCTATCCTTCTTTCAAATGATTTTTTAAATGAGAAAAGATAATTCTTTTCCTTTCAGTACCTTTGGTGAGGTTCGTGTTGCCCAGTTTTTTGTTTTCTATGTTATGTTTTGTGTACTGTTGTTTGTTTGTTTGTCTTTTTTTGCCAAAGCGTTGTCCGTTTATTTTCGACTTGAGTTTATAAGTCCCTTTGGTATCCTTCGCCCTTCTTTCCTTAGTCTCATTATCATACGATTTAACATTTTCTAGTTCAGAAAATTAAAAAAAGTATTTAAAATGATTTACAAAATATGTAAGAATAATATTCACAATACGTCGACAAAACCATCTAAGATCTAGGTAACGACGTTGAGTGTTTTGAAGGTACTGGTGATAATGGAAAACAGCTGGACCGAACCAAAGAGAGAGAATGATATGTGTTACTTCACCACATTGAGTGCAGAAAGAAGTATCAAACAATAAGTTTGTCGTGAGATAGCAGACAGTTCAAGTAGGGTGAAATGTACACATTTACCTTGTGTTCTAATAATTTCAACCTCCTCACGGAACACGTTTGTCCAGGAAATTTGTCCGTGATAAACATCCTTGTCATCTATTATTTGACAATAGTTGGAGGATGGTAGTAATCTGTTTTTTTTCTGCATACAATAATTCAAGCTTCCATAATAATCTAAATCCCATTTAAAACCTGAGTTTTGTTGAGTTCCTAGTAATACAAATAGTACGTTCCTCAATCAAAACGTTTTATTAAATTGCTCTGAGTAGATGAGTATACAATATGCTTATAAATGTGTTTGTATTGCTAGTATTATACAGTAGAGTACCAAAAATATTAATAATATTAGCTAATCGATTCATATCAATTAGATATTGGTGCTATAAAAAGATCAAGATGTTGTATGATTGCCGATGCGACAACTCTCAACCAGAGACAAAATGACATAGAAGTTAAAGAACTATAGGTCACCGTACTGCCTTCAAAAATGAACAAAACCCATACAGCATAGGTAGCTATATAACCCCCAAATTACAAATGTAAATCAAATGGAACGAGAAAATTAACGGCCTGATTTGTTTGCGAAACAATAAACACATAAAATACGAAACACAGGAACAAACGATATCACTAAAATATAGGCTCCTGACATCGGACAGGGACATAAAGAGGATAGCAGTGTTAAACATGGTAGAAGGCTCCTACCCTCGTCCTAACCAGGGACAGTGGTGCAACGGCACAATACAATAACAAACTCTATAAAATATCAAATAACTAGCTCATATCATTTATGTATACGTTTCTCGTTATCAAATGTATCAATCTTATATGACAATGACAATGTTAAAATATACTCTTACACTTAAATCAAATTTTATGAATAAAATAAAATAAAATATTATTACTTTAGATATAAACTTACTGGGGTTCTATTTAGATTTGTTATCACCTCAAAACTTTCATTATTTAGCTCTAAAAAACTGTTTATCTTGAGTTAAAAAAAAAAGTGAAGTTATTCCAGCTACAATCTAGTAGTATCTGCTCCCATGGTAGATCTTCCTTCTTGTTTTGTGTACACACATTCGGTATGAAATGTTGACAAAATCACAATCCCCGTATTTTACATATTCAAAGGATTTAATACTTTTAGATTTAGACGGTCAAAATTCCACGTTGTTACAATGTTGTAAAATATCTTACTGTAACACCCGGAAGGTTACAAGCAACAAAAAGGAACGTACACACACAAAAAGTCCATGGCAAATTTTGAATTCGTTTAAGCTTCATGCCATTGGTTTTGACATTTTTTTACTGCTTTAACGATTACGTTTTTTTTCGCAGAATACATAAACGAACTGTCGCTCCGTAAGAAAAGTCACGACCGTCGCAAAAACAGACTAATTGAAGTTCAAAGTGTCTTTTGCTTGTCTGTTATTTTACATTTCTAAAATTTTTGTGGAACAAGCACATTCGTATTGCTTTCCATACCATACCTTTATTGTACCCAAATTAACTATGTGAAGAGAACCATGAAATTCCCGTTATTATTACCACTCATTCCCTCTACGTGCCGCATTGTTGCAATTATTATAGATATTGCTATTTCAAATATTCTACATGAACAAAAAACTGATTCCTCGGTTAATACAAAGGTCGTAAAAAAAAGATTTTGATACCAATGAAAACAAAATGCACACACAACAAATAAATATTTTTTTGGAAGTGGAAAATGAGAAGGGTGTTAAATCTTTGCACGTCCCTAGAAATGCCATGATCTAAATACAAACTGATCTAAAAGCAATGTAATTTAAAGGGATCTAGGCCCTTCGTTTTGTTTTCAGCTTGTTCCTAGTAATCACAACCTCTGTTTTGTCAATGAGGAACTGGTTTTTAGAGGTTTAGAGGTTTAAACCATTAACGCCGTATATGTCGTAATTGGGCACAATCCTCGTGTAATAAACAATTCTAAAATTGCCCGTTTATAAATTTTGAAATTATAAAGAAACTAAGGTTTCAACTCCCTCTGGCAAAGTTGACCTTAGATCGATTTGGCTATTTGTTTTATGTTTTTTTGTCATATAGCTCTTCAACTGTTAATTCGGTACTTATACATCCCTCGGATTTCAAATGTTTGGCTTTGAGCGTTCCTGATGAAGGTAAATCTAGAAAAGCGCTTCGGACGCATGAAATTGTTAAACGTGTTGTTTTCAATTTGTTTATTCTGTTGTTAATTTTTCTATGTAGTGTCTTGTATTTGTTATATATCTCTTTGTCGTTTTTTTGTTTACCATGATTCTGTTGTTCACTTTCCGATCTTTCAGTTTTCATGGTTTTAAATATCTTTTTGGTAGCTTCCGCCTATTCTTTTAAAATTATATATTGATCATCAGACGTTTACAGGAAAGGTGCTACACTTTTTTCATTCATAGGGAAATAATTCAATTTTGGATGTAACACGTCTTCTGTATGGCTGAAAGTAATTTGTCTATCAGCTCATAGACATAATATTCTCATATAGCCGTGACGTCATAAACGTTTTTTCGTAGTTTACTCCTTAAAAATGTTATTTAGAGTTAGATTATAAGGAATGACTAATATTTTTTCTGTCTTTTTTGAAATACCTCAAAAATACGTGGGTTATTCAGTGTGCACAACATTTTTGATGTTATTTCTTCATAGACAGAAATCATATTACAGTCATTCCTTAAGTAACAAATACGTTGCAAAGAAAACGTGTTTTAATGAACTTCAGGTCTAAGAAGTTTCTTACAACCAACGAAAACGCAAAAAAGTAGATTCGAAATGGAATCTACTTTTCTTTCAATTGCACTCTTGATGTTTCTTATATCTAAAAACAATTCAAATAAGTTTAAATAGAGGCGACAGTAGTTTATCGATGTAAAAAGCTCAAAAAAGCATTAGGAATTTACATATTAAGGTAACAAACAGAAACTATTGGATTCGCATGAAATTCTTAAGGAACAAGACCGGGTGGGTTTCCTGCTTTAAATTGCAGTATACATACGTTCGCTTGTCCAATGCGTTAGTATGGTAGAAATAAAAAAGTTTTTGTAAACGCTCACAAAAATATCCTGTTGGTCTATTGTGAGTTTACATATGAAAGCTGAATAAAAATAACCTCGACAAAAAATGTTCTATTTCAAATGTCGTAAGAATAATATGTACAGGAATACACCAATATTTCATACTGAACAAAGAAGGTTTTACATTGCTTATTTAATAATTTAAGTATTACCACATCTACCAACTATAGGAATGTCCACTGAACTGCAACATCTTCCTTCCAAGTGATTACCGTTTACCCCATTACAACTACCGCAACAAATTGTTGTGCAGTTTCCAGGGTCTGATGATTGACGGACTGAACCATTATAATCTTAAAGTAACCAAAAAGTATAATTCTAAACCCTGCTTTTTGTAATTACACACTTCAAATATACAAAATTGAAATAAAAAAAAACTGAATACATGAGAATATCGACAAAGAAACGGAAACACGACAATATTAACTATAGAATAAATAATTTTATAGAAAAAGCAGAGAATACACACGGCAATATTCTAGAAGAAATGATATGAACATCTATCCTAGTACAACCTAATTCTAACAAATATATTGGCATAAACATAGTACTTAGATAGTGACAGACTGTCATAACATTTAATTCAACTGATCTGTGTGCCTCTCCTTGTCGACCTCTTCTTATTTTCATATGAGTCAGAGATCCTTCAGACACTGACAGAAGATTAAGGAATTCAGATAATTTAAATTCACATTCAGAATGTATGACAAACGAGACGATTTCATTTTAAAATTATCAATTTCCCCAACCTTACGAGCAATATACCAACTTCACCTGCATATGGGATATACATTTCGCAACTCATTCGGTATTCGAGAGCTTGCAGCTGCTACTCTGACTATATAAAACGTCACCAGTGGCTGAGTAGAAAGTTGACGAACCAGGGTTATGACTAAAAAGTGAAATAATAAAAATACCTAACTCCAAGGAAAATCGGAAAGTCCCTTATCAAATGGCAAAATCAAAAGTTCAAACACATAATGGGAAACAACCGTCATATTCCTAACTTGGTACAGGCATTTCCTTACAAATGTTGAAAATGGTGGATTAAACCTGCTTTTACAGCTAGCTAAACCTCTCACTTGTATGACAGTCTCGTTCTCATAGGAAGATATCACAATATTCCGTATCAACTTCACAAATTATACATGATGGTCTTGTGGTATGGATTGTAAGTACTGCCGTTGTTTATCATTTTAATTGCATGTTAAATTGTTCTTTTTATTTGTCTTTGTACAAAAAAATGTTGTATATTGTTAATCTTTATGTATACTGTTTAGTCCATTTTTTCTAGTCAAGTAATATCCTTTTGGCTTGGCTCGGCATTTATACATCCTGCCATTGTGTTATTGTGCTATGGTCAATTTCTGTATTCTTGTCTTTCTTTTTTACGTATGTGCTTTTTCTATAGAGTGCCTATATGACATTTTGTTTTTCTTTGTTGACATAGTTGTTTGTTTTTATAGTGATTAAGATTATAACACAATATTCCTCTAATTTTTGACATTTTGACCTTTTATGTCTGTTTGTTTTGTTCATACATTGTTGTCTATATAATGGAATTGTATGCGACTGTCATACAAGATAGAGGTTTAGCTAGCTATAACACCAGGTTTAATCTGCATATTTCTACATAAGAAAATGCCTACAACGAGTCAGGAATATGACACATGTTTTCCATTCGTTTGAAGTGCTTCAGCTTTTGGTTTTTCCATTTGATAAGGAACATTCCGTTTTGAACTTTCCTTGGAGTTTTGCTATTTCACTTTTTAGCGTATGCTCGACCGATGAGATGGGCATTTAGTAGTCTTGGGGAGGTACTGAATTTCCTTATAAACTTAACCACAGTCATTGTTGGGACCATATAATTTTCACTTAAACACACAAAAACAATGCAAAAGAGACTGTAAAAGGTTTTGTAGAAAATCCCAAAAGAAAAATGTTCTAATGTCTGTTAGCCGAATTGTTTGAAATTTTTTTGTAAATTTAAAACGATCAAATTCAATATAAGTTTGTGATTTTCAAGATTTATAACCTATAATTGTTTCAGAAATGTTTGAAGGAATTAAAACAGTTTGTTTTTTGTTCAGTAGTTTTAAGCCGTTTATTAACATTCAAGCTACAATAATTTCAATGATATTTCAAATTTACTTTAAAATATGTTTCTACTACACAAAATTTCTAACAGTTATGGGTATTCCTGATGAGAACATTTGCGAAAAAATGATAAAAACATGTGACTACTAGCGTTTGTAATTTTGTTATAGTTAACAAAAATTTGTCATATTCAATACAACATGAACATAAAATTCAAAGGTGACTTTGGCAGATGATGAATTGGCCTCTACCCTTTCATATGTGTAAATATAAGAAAAAATCATACGCGAGGAAAGTACTCCTTAATTTAGAAAGTTAGATTGGTTATAAGGTTGACAGAGACTAGAAAGTCATATTTACTCCTATATCTGAAAATTGATACTGAAGGACAATTTGCAACAAGGCTCTATGGCAAACCCAATACATTATTTTTTTCATTTTTAACTTCCAGGTTAACACTAGTAATTTTTTGGGCCCTTTATAGCTTACTGTCCGGTGTGAGCCAAGGCTCCGTGTTGAAGATCGTACTTTGACCTATAATGGTTTACTTGTTTTAAATTTTGACTTGAATGGAGAGTTGTCTCATTGGCACTCATACCACATCTTCTTATATCTAATAACAGAAGTCAAATATCATTTTATCTAGATATTGCGTTTTCATGTGCCTTCATTCATGAGCAATGACAGTATAAACTAAGGTGATGTGGTATATTTGCCAGTGCCGTGTAGCATTCACTGAAAAAACACTAGTGTTTGTTTCAATCAAAACGATACAGCGGTTTCAATTACAATGGAATACCCACAAGTCAAAAACCTCTTGAGCACAGTTATGAGAAGGAACAGCTTAAATAACCAAGTCAAATGTTCACCTATGGTTTCAAACATTGGTTAGACGTTGCAATGCCTCAATGTTTTAACTAAGTGATGACATTTTAATCTGTGATCTCATTTGATGCTATTTACTATATCTAACTAAATTATCTATCCTGTTTACCTTTGACCTAGGAAACGTGCACTGCACATCTATTTACAACATTTATACAATACAATTAAACCTAGAATTTATGTGCTGTTCCATCATTGTCCATCGAAATAGAAATAAAGAATTTTTTGCATCACGTTGAAAGGTTTGGATTTCATTTTTGTAACAACATGCTAACTTTGTCATGTTTAAAAAACGCGTTAGAATAATATTTATTGAAATGTACAACAAAGCGGACTATAAAAGTAACACAACAATGCAGCACATTCAAAGTTTATCCTCCTTTAATAACACTCTATTAGCATGATTAGGTAACGTCTGTATAAGACAGATTTCTTTTACATTATCACGGTTATGTTTGTCTTTAGCTGTAGTGAACCTGTTAGAAAATGTATGTTATTTCTCGATTTTTACACTTTCAACATATAACATTTATATAAAGGTTAAAAAACACCACAAAACAAAAATGTCAATTTCTGACCTTATAAGTTGAGCACAGAAAGATTCAAACTGGCATCTCAATATACAAAATATATATGCTATAATTGCAAGTTAGCGAATTATCCACCAGAGACCAAAGGACAAGGATGTTATTAATAATCAAAACAAAAAAAAAAACAAACATGGTGTTATTCGTAAAGGATTAATTTGTACGGTAGAAGAGCGGAGAAAGAAACTAAAGGGATAATTAACCTTATAAGTCAAAATCAAAATGACAATGCCATGGCAGAAAACTAAAACGACGAAAAGAAAAACCAACAATTTACATGACACAACATAGAAAACTAAAGATGGAGCAACAAAAACCCCATCAAAACACTGGGGATGAAATAAGGTGCTATGGAAGAGAGCGAATATCCTGCTTGTGTCCATAAAAACCAAACATGATTATTAGCCTAATCAAAGCAAATTACCTCTATAAACAAAGAAATGTGTTGAATTGAGACAATACTGTATGTCTTGTTCTTGTATTGCATCGATTCTATTAGGAAGGCAGACACAATTGTGTGTTTTCGTCTGTAAAAGAAATAAGTACAATATATTTTAGTTTGACTGAAGAGACTTTGAAATAAGCTTACTCTTGATCTTTTACATATGCAGAAGGAAAATTGTTCAAAGTGTTAATGCATATGTCTAGTAAAATCAATTCTGAATGTGACATAGTCACACTTTATAAAATACGAAATTACTTAAATATCAAAAGAGAATTTTCTTAAGAGTTAAACTTACATTCCGAATACGCTGTTTGTAACCAAAATAACTTCCCATGTTTTCAGAATAACATTTTTGTTGACAATATCCAATCGATGCCACTGCAGGAAATGAGCGGATATGATCGTCCTCAATTTGAAAACACCCTTTAAGAGAAGTATGTAGACTTATTAGATTTCAATTTGAATAAAAAAATCTGTTCACTTCTAGTATGTTTAACAACGGCACATGTTCTTTAACGAAACAGTCTCGACTATTCGTTGATCCTTTCAAAACATCTGATATTGTCCCCGATTTTTCTATCTTTAGTTTTCTGTATGTATTTTTTCGACTGGTGTTAACAGTTGAAAATTAAGTGAAACTGACGTCAAAATTTTATGACATTTAGAAGAGATTTGTCAAAATATACATGTAGAGGTTGGCTTTTGAAACTTTAATTTACTACTTTTTTTTACAAACACCTTTTAGGAAAAACTCACAATGCCTGTAATCGTACAGCTTGATATCAATTCGAATTGATATTTTACATGAGAGATCGTGAACTGACTACCCTTCCAATGTATATGAGTTCAGCACCTGTGTTTGTGGAGTTCGTGTTACGTTCGTTGTCTTCAAATTGTGTTTGGTTAAGTATCGTTTTGCTTTGTGTCTCATTTCTTTGGTCAGGGTGCGATCTGTTCTTATTAGCCCTATGGGTTGTATTGCCCACTTGGTATCGTCATCCTTCTTTGGTATTATTTTGTTTAAATACATTACAAATGACACTAGTCTATACTAGAAACGTTTTATTATAACAATGAACATTGTCGAATTTCCCCTTTATTTCGAATAAAAAAAACCAAGAAAAATGAAAAAAAAAAAAAAAACAAATACACCCAGAAGGAAATATTCTGACATAAATCGAATTATAAATTTATAGTTCGTTATAAAATAAAAAGATATACTGGTTACGGTATTTTACAATATAAGAATAATGATTTAAGTTAAATAAGCGTTCCTAAAACTTTTATGAAATGTGATTTGATTTGCATCAATTTCAAATACCAATAAAATCAGAATAGATGTTTGCCCTTGATACAAGTTATGTACATAATATGATAATACTGTCCAAATTCTTCCGGCAAAAGTGACTTGATGTGAAATTGGACTTTTTTAGAAACTGAATACTTGTCCACGAGAATATCATTAGCTCAGTAGTTAGTACTACATGCTTTATACATTGTTATAACACACTTTATTTTAATAGTCTGTTGGTCAATTTCGAAATTATTAGAAACTAACGTTGCAACTCCAAATGAGGTAAGTTTTTTTTCCAGTACTGTAGTATTAATACATCCTTAGCTCTAATAGTTTTGGGTTTGAGCGTTCCTGATGAACAAAAACCCAGATCACTGCTTCTGATGCATACAGCTTGTAACGTTATATCATATGATACTGCTGCTGAATACTAGTCTTGCTTGTATCATCAACGCAATAGTAAATATTGGACAATGGGTTATAAAATACCATGTTGGAATAATTCTCCATTGATAAAATTCGAAATTATTTTGAAAATTAGGATTGAACTGGCACGGGAATGTTGATTTATTATTTTTGGCTTCAGCTCCTTAAAGATCAAACAGCCTATTCAATTCTACTAATGATTTGTTTTCTAAAAAAATTGTGTCGAGGTAATTCATGATTTTGGGAACAAAATATGATGAAAAAAATGGGGATCACCGACTTTGTTTTATCACTATAGCAACATCAATTTCGTGTTTTTCTCCAAATTGACGATTATTTCGTAATTATTTCAAGTAACTATTATTCAGTTATATCAAAGCCAGAACCTTTTTTTTTTCTAAACAAAACATATGATTTGTATCTATCTAATAAGACTCTATACTATATGATCTAATATGTTTTAATTTCTAAATTAGGGTTAGCATCATTCCCGCCAAAAGTTATATGTCAAAGTGAAATATTTTTCCATTGTGAAAAAATATCTACTATTGATTTCTTTCAAAATCATTACAAGAGCGGAAGAGCAATTTGTACTCATTAAAATATGTCACCGACCTTTTAAAAAAATTTACGAGTTATATTACATTTATTTTTTCATTTGTTTTCAAGAGAATAGTTATCTATCCCGAGAACAATGACTCTGACGTTATAGTACAAGTTTGCCGTAAATTTTGATAAGTAAAAAAAATGTAGTTTTAAATAATAAAAAAAAAAAAACATGGACTTTATTTTTTGAGAAAACCAGAGATCTAATTTGTAAATATCTGTATTTTACAGATCTAATAAATGCAGCTCAAAATCGGCTTTCGAAAACACTGAAAAAACGTATAATGAATCGTAATTACATGTATGTGCTACTCCTTTATATGACTCCTATATTAAAATTTAATACCATGTAGATGGTAACAAAACCAGACGAATATTATCGATTATGTAAGGGATGATGAGAGAATGAATAGGACTTGTAGTCCTGAAATGTCAATGTTATGAGACGGAACAAATGAATCTTGTGTTTGTAGCAAAGGATTAAATGTACCGAGTTTTTTAAAAATATTTATCACTAATTTCATAGTACTTATACCGGCTACGAAAATGTGAAATATCATAATTTTCTGCATGTGACTAATATGTTTCTGTATGCATACCATATTTGACCTAAAATCTATGGCATGTTTTGCTGTCACTCCGTTATTTTTATAACATGTATGTTCGTCCTTAATGTATTTATATGTGAAAGTCATACACCGATTTCGGTTGTTGCTGAAAATCATATTTGAGTTGTTTTACATTTCGGCGTCATTTATAGCTTGCAATGAGTTATGGGTTTTTCTCATTGTTAAAGGCTATCAGATTACTTATAGTTGCTAACTTCTACGTCATTTGGTCCCTGATGGAGACTTGTCGCATTGGTAATCGTACCACACCCTCTTAGTTTTTCAATACTAATTTCAATGAATTTTCATAGATATTCCGATATCCCAACGAAAACATTATCCAGTTTTCGGGTAAATACTCTGTTTTAATCAAAACCCAATTCATAAAATAAAACAAATTTTTAATATAATTTGTTAATGCTCCATCAATAGCGTTTGCAAAGTAAAGGTAATAAGTTTCGAGAGTGAAATTAATTTATTACATAAACAGTAATAGTATTGATAGACTGACCAATATAAAACAATAATACAAGTACGCTGCGTTTAAAATAACCATTGTATGTTTGTTTGAACTCAGGCATTACTTTAACCTCACCATACAGTTTGGCAAAGAATATTTTATGATTTATATAATAAATATAATAGAATGTAATTGATTTTATTACTTTTTTCAATACATTTTTCGATGTTTTATTACAAGTAAAGTGTCGATACCTTTTAGACCTTAAATTACAAAAGGTAGAACAAATTACCCTAAATCATCCATATTTTTATACAAACACTTTCAACTAACATGCCTGTCGTGTTCATTGCTGTCGTTTTATTAAGGAAACAAAGAATAAATTTCCCGAATGTTTCAGTCAGATTATTTTCGATAAAATGCAGAATTGATAAATGCATAGTGATTCCAGGACTCCACACTTCAGGAATATTTGTAGCTTGCCGTGAACTGTTACATGATGTTTAAGTCATATTCATTTGGTGTAAATCATCACTGACCTTTTTCCGACACGACTTTTCAGTATTTTTAACAAAACGTCTTTTGATGCAGGACGCCATATTGAAATTTTCTAAATGCGCGAAATGGAACACGATACTTTGCCATTTTTTTGTTGGCCGAAACGACAACGTAATAGAGCTTTGTCTCACAATACACGTTGCGCTAGCTAATGCACATAAACAATAGGCTGTTTGTTTACGATCCGCCATCTTTGTTATTTATATTGTAGAGGGCGCTCTTATCATTTTTCAAACTAATAATTTTAAGGGTAAAATATTTATACATTCTTCACTAGCTCTTAAATGTTTGGTTTTGAGTGATCCTGATAAAACAAGAATAAAAAAAGCGCTTCTGACGCACCACATTTGTAAATAATATTGTCATTTTAATGAATTAAACCATTTCGTTGTTAACAAATAATTGGCAATTAATTTTGATAAAATTGTGTTTAATTACTTGCGCGTGTTTGCAAAGTTGAATGTATAAACGACCATTGAATATCACGAACTTATCTCTTAGCAGTTATATTAAAGTTGAATTAATAACTTTGGGAAAAATACCATTTAAAAAAAAGATTAAGATGATATGTCAGCTATTGGAGAAGGGTAGAAGTAAAACATATCCATTCTTCCAAGTTATAATTACCATATCATTGTTGTAAAACCAATGCCCCTTATATCATATGGAATATATACTGTACTTTCGTCAATCTGAATGTGACATAGTCACACTTTATAAAATACGAAATTACTTAAATATCAAAAGAGAATTTTCTTAAGAGTTAAACTTACATTCCGAATACGCTGTTTGTAACCAAAATAACTTCCCATGTTTTCAGAATAACATTTTTGTTGACAATATCCAATCGATGCCACTGCAGGAAATGAGCGGATATGATCGTCCTCAATTTGAAAACACCCTTTAAGAGAAGTATGTAGACTTATTAGATTTCAATTTGAATAAAAAAATCTGTTCACTTCTAGTATGTTTAACAACGGCACATGTTCTTTAACGAAACAGTCTCGACTATTCGTTGATCCTTTCAAAACATCTGATATTGTCCCCGATTTTTCTATCTTTAGTTTTCTGTATGTATTTTTTCGACTGGTGTTAACAGTTGAAAATTAAGTGAAACTGACGTCAAAATTTTATGACATTTAGAAGAGATTTGTCAAAATATACATGTAGAGGTTGGCTTTTGAAACTTTAATTTACTACTTTTTTTTACAAACACCTTTTAGGAAAAACTCACAATGCCTGTAATCGTACAGCTTGATATCAATTCGAATTGATATTTTACATGAGAGATCGTGAACTGACTACCCTTCCAATGTATATGAGTTCAGCACCTGTGTTTGTGGAGTTCGTGTTACGTTCGTTGTCTTCAAATTGTGTTTGGTTAAGTATCGTTTTGCTTTGTGTCTCATTTCTTTGGTCAGGGTGCGATCTGTTCTTATTAGCCCTATGGGTTGTATTGCCCACTTGGTATCGTCATCCTTCTTTGGTATTATTTTGTTTAAATACATTACAAATGACACTAGTCTATACTAGAAACGTTTTATTATAACAATGAACATTGTCGAATTTCCCCTTTATTTCGAATAAAAAAAACCAAGAAAAATGAAAAAAAAAAAAAAAACAAATACACCCAGAAGGAAATATTCTGACATAAATCGAATTATAAATTTATAGTTCGTTATAAAATAAAAAGATATACTGGTTACGGTATTTTACAATATAAGAATAATGATTTAAGTTAAATAAGCGTTCCTAAAACTTTTATGAAATGTGATTTGATTTGCATCAATTTCAAATACCAATAAAATCAGAATAGATGTTTGCCCTTGATACAAGTTATGTACATAATATGATAATACTGTCCAAATTCTTCCGGCAAAAGTGACTTGATGTGAAATTGGACTTTTTTAGAAACTGAATACTTGTCCACGAGAATATCATTAGCTCAGTAGTTAGTACTACATGCTTTATACATTGTTATAACACACTTTATTTTAATAGTCTGTTGGTCAATTTCGAAATTATTAGAAACTAACGTTGCAACTCCAAATGAGGTAAGTTTTTTTTTCCAGTACTGTAGTATTAATACATCCTTAGCTCTAATAGTTTTGGGTTTGAGCGTTCCTGATGAACAAAAACCCAGATCACTGCTTCTGATGCATACAGCTTGTAACGTTATATCATATGATACTGCTGCTGAATACTAGTCTTGCTTGTATCATCAACGCAATAGTAAATATTGGACAATGGGTTATAAAATACCATGTTGGAATAATTCTCCATTGATAAAATTCGAAATTATTTTGAAAATTAGGATTGAACTGGCACGGGAATGTTGATTTATTATTTTTGGCTTCAGCTCCTTAAAGATCAAACAGCCTATTCAATTCTACTAATGATTTGTTTTCTAAAAAAATTGTGTCGAGGTAATTCATGATTTTGGGAACAAAATATGATGAAAAAAATGGGGATCACCGACTTTGTTTTATCACTATAGCAACATCAATTTCGTGTTTTTCTCCAAATTGACGATTATTTCGTAATTATTTCAAGTAACTATTATTCAGTTATATCAAAGCCAGAACCTTTTTTTTTTCTAAACAAAACATATGATTTGTATCTATCTAATAAGACTCTATACTATATGATCTAATATGTTTTAATTTCTAAATTAGGGTTAGCATCATTCCCGCCAAAAGTTATATGTCAAAGTGAAATATTTTTCCATTGTGAAAAAATATCTACTATTGATTTCTTTCAAAATCATTACAAGAGCGGAAGAGCAATTTGTACTCATTAAAATATGTCACCGACCTTTTAAAAAAATTTACGAGTTATATTACATTTATTTTTTCATTTGTTTTCAAGAGAATAGTTATCTATCCCGAGAACAATGACTCTGACGTTATAGTACAAGTTTGCCGTAAATTTTGATAAGTAAAAAAAATGTAGTTTTAAATAATAAAAAAAAAAAAACATGGACTTTATTTTTTGAGAAAACCAGAGATCTAATTTGTAAATATCTGTATTTTACAGATCTAATAAATGCAGCTCAAAATCGGCTTTCGAAAACACTGAAAAAACGTATAATGAATCGTAATTACATGTATGTGCTACTCCTTTATATGACTCCTATATTAAAATTTAATACCATGTAGATGGTAACAAAACCAGACGAATATTATCGATTATGTAAGGGATGATGAGAGAATGAATAGGACTTGTAGTCCTGAAATGTCAATGTTATGAGACGGAACAAATGAATCTTGTGTTTGTAGCAAAGGATTAAATGTACCGAGTTTTTTAAAAATATTTATCACTAATTTCATAGTACTTATACCGGCTACGAAAATGTGAAATATCATAATTTTCTGCATGTGACTAATATGTTTCTGTATGCATACCATATTTGACCTAAAATCTATGGCATGTTTTGCTGTCACTCCGTTATTTTTATAACATGTATGTTCGTCCTTAATGTATTTATATGTGAAAGTCATACACCGATTTCGGTTGTTGCTGAAAATCATATTTGAGTTGTTTTACATTTCGGCGTCATTTATAGCTTGCAATGAGTTATGGGTTTTTCTCATTGTTAAAGGCTATCAGATTACTTATAGTTGCTAACTTCTACGTCATTTGGTCCCTGATGGAGACTTGTCGCATTGGTAATCGTACCACACCCTCTTAGTTTTTCAATACTAATTTCAATGAATTTTCATAGATATTCCGATATCCCAACGAAAACATTATCCAGTTTTCGGGTAAATACTCTGTTTTAATCAAAACCCAATTCATAAAATAAAACAAATTTTTAATATAATTTGTTAATGCTCCATCAATAGCGTTTGCAAAGTAAAGGTAATAAGTTTCGAGAGTGAAATTAATTTATTACATAAACAGTAATAGTATTGATAGACTGACCAATATAAAACAATAATACAAGTACGCTGCGTTTAAAATAACCATTGTATGTTTGTTTGAACTCAGGCATTACTTTAACCTCACCATACAGTTTGGCAAAGAATATTTTATGATTTATATAATAAATATAATAGAATGTAATTGATTTTATTACTTTTTTCAATACATTTTTCGATGTTTTATTACAAGTAAAGTGTCGATACCTTTTAGACCTTAAATTACAAAAGGTAGAACAAATTACCCTAAATCATCCATATTTTTATACAAACACTTTCAACTAACATGCCTGTCGTGTTCATTGCTGTCGTTTTATTAAGGAAACAAAGAATAAATTTCCCGAATGTTTCAGTCAGATTATTTTCGATAAAATGCAGAATTGATAAATGCATAGTGATTCCAGGACTCCACACTTCAGGAATATTTGTAGCTTGCCGTGAACTGTTACATGATGTTTAAGTCATATTCATTTGGTGTAAATCATCACTGACCTTTTTCCGACACGACTTTTCAGTATTTTTAACAAAACGTCTTTTGATGCAGGACGCCATATTGAAATTTTCTAAATGCGCGAAATGGAACACGATACTTTGCCATTTTTTTGTTGGCCGAAACGACAACGTAATAGAGCTTTGTCTCACAATACACGTTGCGCTAGCTAATGCACATAAACAATAGGCTGTTTGTTTACGATCCGCCATCTTTGTTATTTATATTGTAGAGGGCGCTCTTATCATTTTTCAAACTAATAATTTTAAGGGTAAAATATTTATACATTCTTCACTAGCTCTTAAATGTTTGGTTTTGAGTGATCCTGATAAAACAAGAATAAAAAAAGCGCTTCTGACGCACCACATTTGTAAATAATATTGTCATTTTAATAAATTAAACCATTTCGTTGTTAACAAATAATTGGCAATTCATTTTGATAAAAATGTGTTTAATTACTTGCGCGTGTTTGCAAAGTTGTATATATAAACGACCATTGAATATCACGAACTTATCTCTTAGCAGCTATATTAAAGTTGAATTAATAACTTTGGAAAAATATCATTAAAAAAAAAAGATTAAGATGATATGTCAGCTATTGGAGAAGGGTAGAAGTAAAACATATCCATTCTTCCAAGTTATAATTACCATATCATTGTTGTAAAACCAATGCCCCTTATATCATATGGAATATATACTGTACTTTCGTCAGCTTGATGACAAGTTTTGATGCAGAAAAAAAATACAAATTGAATGTTCAATCTGTAGAAATTAGTTTAATTCATTTTTGTTTCAATGTTCACGCCAGTGTTTCTATTATTCCTTCTTTTTTGTTTAAACAATGACAGACCTTTGGTAGTCTTTGATTCATTTTAACGTGTTAAGCTTGATACGAATGAAAACTCAACATGTTTTGCACATTTCTGTACAATGTTTTAAAGATTTTTCTTGTTATATTTCTTGTATCATTGACACAAATATATGTTTTTCATTCATCTAACAAATTTAAGTTACCAATTATCTCAATCCATCGTGTTGGTACTCTGTAAATAGCCTTTCCTATCCAAAATTCGAGTTCATTAGCAATGCCACTTTCCCTGAGGTATTCTTCTCGGCTTTCTAGGCCATTAGGTTTACATTCATCTTGAGCGCGATCCCACGTTATGCCATTCGAATCAGTATGCAATAATTCATGCGCTGATTTTACTAAAGAAATATAAGATAAATTGTAGTAAGATTTGCAATATCAATTCATATAAAAAGCTTTATATTTTAAGTTTAATTTGCATGATACCGTCTGCAATACCATGAACAAACTGCACAACCAACTCTTTACGTCACAAAAAAAATACCCTTTTTCAATCATAAAAATTAACATTATTGACACAAAGCTGGTCAGTGTCAAGGATGCGGCTGGTGTGTTAAGAATTTATGTATATATACAATTCCATGAACAATAAATAACCTGTAATATTAAACAAAAAGTATAACTATATGTAGTTCATGTTTAAAATCAAAACACTGACTAATACATAGAAGGCAATATCGAAACCTTTCTGTCGTCAATTGTGAATACATATATCCCTAACATCACAGAAGAGACATTAATTGTCGAAATCCGGATATGGTGTACAAAGTTTTGCACCTTTGTGATATACCATCTTTTCCGCAAGTTTATTGTTTTCTAATTGGTATTAAATTTTTAATTAAGATCCATGTTAAATCTGGTGATCACTTTATTTGGAAATCGCTAATGGCAGTCAGCAGGGGTTAATAACATCAGCTGTTCGACCTGTTAGTCAAATGCGTTTTGTTAAAATATACTTTTCACTTTTTGGTCTTTTGGAAAATGTTGTTTGTGCTGTATTTAGACCCCTCTAACAAGAAATGAGTTTTAAATGCAAACGTATAAAAATAGCGGTTTTTAACCAACGCAATCATAGATTTGAACGTTGTTTTCAATTTAGACTTGCATATATACATACATATACACATTATAAGATACATGAAGGTAATAAACAAACAAGTCTGACTAAAATATATATCAATTAGTAATAAAACGAATGTGTGAAACGAGTAGGTATTACAATGATCACATGTACAATTGGCTTGTCGTCGGAAACTATTCACTATTAAAGTATTAATCGGAAATTGAAAGTTGATTCATCATTATCCTTATTGGTTACATTAAACAAGGAAGTCGAAAGTTCACATAATATTACATTTTTTAAAAACGACAAAACCTTCATACTTTAAGTACACATTTGCGAATATAGATTATAAAACCAAAAACATTTAGTCGAACCCATTTTTGCCAAATTAGAATACATGTATCACATATTATCGTAAAATGTCGTCTAAACCTATTTGTTCAATGTTGAGATTTAAAATAAAATATCATCAATAACATGAAACAATTATAAATACCTAAATTTATAACAAAAGTCCAAATATCGAAAATGAATTGATTTCAGTTGATCAACATCATGATCTGTATTCTCTTTTAATTGTATCAGTTTCAAATACTGGGCTGAGGAATTGAACATTTTGTATACCTACTTTTTCATTGGTGATAACATGTAAAGATTTTAAAGTATAAACCAGGTTTAATCCACAATTTTCTACAAAAGGAAATGCCTGTACCAAGTCAGGAAGATGACAGTCAAACTATTCTTCATTCGTATGTTTGAGCTTTTGATTTTGCATTTTGTAAAGGAACTTTTCGTTTTGTATTTTCATTAGAGTTCGGAATTTTTGTTATTTCACTTTTCTAATAAAGATGTTACAACTATATATAATTTCTGTGAACACTGAAACACACATACGGAATAGAGTCTCAGTGTTCTTGAGACATTTTCTGTTTTTAATTTGAATGCATACGCGTTTAAACAAAAGAAGAAATTCAGATACATGTAAATATGATTATACGGAAGAAAGCTTTATCTATAACTATGATTTGATATTGAAATTAGATACTAAATGAAAATGGTAAAAAAAAATACTTACCATAATGTATCAAAATTATCACAATTAAAGCATATAAAATGAGCATGTCAACGGCAACCATTGATGATAACAGCATACGGGAAAAACGTATCTGAATCATCATTGTATACACTTACGACAAAACAAGGAAGTTAATAGTTAAAAAAACTAATACATTAGGGAAAAACTACAAAATGTACTTATTTGTAACATCTCATTGCTGAAATTAAGTATAAGTAGAAAAGAGTTAATTAAACACATTTACGACGTATTTAAGTATGTCACATTATCGCTATTTTTTTAAATGTGCTTTGTTCTTTTTTTGTGAAAATATTTACAGGATAAAAGCCTATAAGCTTACTATTATATAAGGAGATGAGGTATGATTGCCAATGAGACAACTATCCATCAAAGTTCAAATTAAGTAATCCTCAGCAAGTATAGCCAACCGTGCGGCCTTTAACAATGAGAAAAAACCCTTCCGAATAGTCGGCTATACATTTCTGCTTTGTCCCAAAAAAAATATATCTTATATAATTATAATATTATGATATATTTGTATAGTCCCAAATAGGATTACAATATTTGTCGCTTGACTCTTAGCAACATTCAAGCAACCAATCAATATTTTTATTCATTCAGAAGTATATTATGTGTTTTCACGAAGACAAAGACCTTGTATTGAAATACGAAAAATACATATGGTAAAATTATTTACAACGTTTATAAATTGTCCTTTAAATATTTCTCGAAGCATATACGCATCGGTGGTCAACGATAGCGTAATTGCAGAGACAGCTAGCGTTATTCTACCCTTTGTCTGCTCACAAAAAAATAATAATTAGATTTTGCTGCTTCTCTTTTAAGCAAGCGCGTTCTGATTTAAAATATAACAACTGATCCCCTTGAGTTTTGAATAACGTTTCCAGGTAAGTCTTCCTGTGGACTGTTATCTTAAGAACTAGTACATGAAATATCCTGCTCAACGCGATTGACTTGTCAATAGATGTGTTTATAATCATATTACATATTAACATATTCCTGTCCTGAAATGCGTTTAGTATTTGCCACTGGACTTAAAACAGCAATTAACCGCTCTATCTTTTGAGCTTTGCTGTGTAAAGAGTCTGATTGATAACGCAAATCATCATTAAAGTTCATTCATTGCTACGGTATAGTTTATTATCAATTTAATTGTTCTTGAAATAGAGATGTCGAAGATATTTAAGGAATATTCAAATCTATAAGTCGAAGACAAAATGATAAAACCGTGGCAGAACACGAATAGTCTTCAAACACAACATAGAAACCTCAAGACTAAGCAACACGAACCTACCGAAAACCAGTGGTGATCTGAAGTACTCCGTTCTAAAATGTACGTTTTTATCTATTATCCTTATTCTGTTTTGTACACTGATAATTCAATTTTGATCTGAAACGGTCATTTTGGTCTGAACAGCTCTTAAAAGAATGAACTATAAATTATATTGTTCGGTCAATGGACATACTATTTACAGTTGTTGTTTACTTGTGCACATCAACATGATACTGAATTGTCTCAAAAGCTACGGAACAATACTGGATGATTAACTGCAATCAAATTGTCTAAATAGTTCATTTACCGCAGTGGATAAGTCTGATAATTTACAGAAAGACTGAACATAACTGAATATTTTATTATTCAGACTTGAGATGATGTTAAGATTAAGGCCATAGTTTATGTATTCTTATTCAAAAATAAATGTATGCGTAAAGCCTATTTCGACATGTTTTGCCATCATTATGACATCACCAGTGACATTTCTTACTTAAATTGTTAATATTTTACCTGATTGGTGATCAATAAACTGAACATGTCTGTGATAATTTTGAATGGTTATCTATTTTGGCAATTTCCGGGGTAAAATATTGACTATTTCCATATCTTCTTCTTTATTAACGAATCGTTTTGGCACGGACTTATAACCTGAAAGAAAAATATACCGTTATTGAATATCCGTTTCACAGATGACAGCGGATATGTTCCATTTGTCGTAACCACAATTCCGTCCCCTTTTTACCGAATGTGACCTACCGAACTAGAGTTATTACCGGTTTGTACTAACATGAGCAACACGAGGGATGCCACTTGGGGAGCAGGAATTGCGTACCCATCGGGAGCACCTCAGATTACTCCTAGTTTTTGGGGTTGTGTTGCTAGGTCTTTAGTTTTGTATGTTGTGTTTTGTGTACTGTTGTTTGTCTGTTGGTTTCCTTTTTTGTTAAATGTACCATGTTAAATGTAATGAGGCTGACATGTATAAGGATCAGACAAACCAATTGCATATGTCAGTAAAAAATTGCTTTAGTTCTGTGTTAATGCCTGCTTAAACCACTAGTTATGCTTTTAATCAGTCTTATGGATATATAGGTTTTTAACCGGTCATTGTGATAAGCAAGTTTTGATACCAGCTGGCTCTGTGCTTGTTTATATAAAGAATAAGTGCATCCATTCATTTATTAGTGTATTGCTAAGAAACTGTACTCATATTATAATACACTCAATACATATATTTTGGAATTTCTTTTCGTGAATTAACACCCTTGGTAAAAATAATTTTATTTGATGATGTATACTGTACATGTTTTAAAAAAGAAAAGAATTTATGATTCTTAAACTATTTCCAAGACATACACATGGTATATAAATGCATTGGAAATAATAAAATATATGGTGGGACATGTATAATTTTATGCCAATTTTTTTTTTAGTCTTGTATGAAATTTTCAACTATGATAAAAGCTTTTTGTTATTTTAAAATTTCCCGTCGAGCGTAATTACAGAGGAATACATTTATTGTCCAAGTGCGTATTTTTTTTTATAGTAAAGTGGTATCGTTTATAGTATGTGGTCTACATTTATGATATGTGAGAAATATTGAGGTAAAATATAATACAGTTCATCCTGAGTTATCAAATATACTGATTAAAAACAGTGGCTCAATTTCAGTCAAATAATATAAAAATGGTTGTTCCATGAAAACGATTGTAGAAATATCAGTGAATTGTCATAGAGTTAATGCAAGCTAATTTTGAATTAATTTCACATCAGGGCCATATAAAAAAGACCCATTTTTTTCTTAGTGTATCACTGGTCCATGTTTGCATGCTAGCTACATTATGTCAACCAAAATATAGATGCCTAACTATAGCCCAAAACTGCGATTATGATTGAGTGTGTCAAAAAAGGATGACAAAAATACCGAACTCCAAGGTAAATCCAAAAAGGTTAAGTCAAAGTTTAAGCAATTAATCACGACAAGGACATTCTTAACCAAAACAAAACGAGATTATAATGTCTTTCATATATAACTATATATATATATCATATATATAATACTGTGAATTTTAGAAAAAAAGGTACCTCTTTATCTTGGTTTAAAACATTCTCCGATTCAAAATAAAACAGGAACATGTAAATTTTCTAAATTGTATCGCTTAGTAGCATTTGATTTTATTAAAATATGTAAATCAAATAGTTGAATCAAAATGTTGTATCAGGGTTTTTCTGCTTGAATTCAAAATATTAGTCGTGAAAAGAGAATAAAGCATTCACAATCTCAGGCTAATGAAAGGGGTCAGAGACCCGTGTGATCATATTACATTGTAGCTTTTGATTGCCATTATTGCGATTATAAATAAAAAACCGCACAGCTATGATGAATTAAAATTTAGAAATAGTTTATTATATTAGTTAAGCTTGCACTCAACACATGTACTCCCATTGTCCTCAACTTCAACATCCACCATTAACCTGAAGTTTTGTTCAAGTGAAAGGAATTCAATATGTTGGGCTTTAAGCTTACAACTTTCTAAGCTCCACAGTGACCATTACCAAGATTTCCAAGAGCCAGCAATTCTTTATTTCACAACGTACTCAACGAATGAAATGCCAGTTAAACTGTTTTATATATTCCAATATCCTCTACGGTTCATTTGGCTTTATCGGTTTACATATGCTTTGACATTTAAGTTCTGAAAATAACTTTATGCCCTAACTTGACATCGGTAAACTAGCTTCCTATTATTCAAGAGTGACATGTCAACTAGCCGAGGCATCAATCTAGTGATTGCAAAGACAGTCATCAAATATAAGAAGGTTTTTACTTGAGAGCACCAGACGCACATGCTGAGCGTTGGCACGCGAGTATTACCATCTAGAAGGCCCAATCAAATACAAAGGTGTCGAACATTTTAAACCATACATTCAATTATGGTGTACCACATCTTGCTACATCTATTAATTCCGGGGCTAGAACCATTTTTTTTTGTTTCTTATTTATAACACGTTTCTTTTTAAAATTATCTATATAAGAATGTAGCTAACATGGTGTTCGTGTAATGCATTTAACAGTTGTAACCTATGTGACCAATGTTTATCTATATAACTATGTTTCTGTTTGTTTTATCAAATATTATTTCGACTAACACTGAAATATTAACGTAAAGGTTATTGAGGAGATAATTATGTGTCCTGTGAAGGAGAGACAGTAGATAACTGACAGTTAAACGCAAAAGTAAAACAAAAGCTGACAACATCATGCCAAACACAACATAGAAAACTAAAGACTGAGCAACACGAACCCAACCAAATATTGGTAGTTATACCAGGTGCTCCAGAAGAGTTAGTAGCTTCAGCAACATATGTGACACCCGTCGTATTACTTCTATAAATTATGTTATAACGTTATATAAAGTAATTATGCGTCATGCAATAGCGGATTGGTAATTGATTCTTAACTAACCCTTACCAATTTTGTAAGCCATCGGTCATGTTACTATTTCTAACCTTCAAACTTTACCGAATGATTTTTTTTTCAAATAAACCGTTTTTTATTACAAAGGATAGAGAATAATTTTACACAGACATTGAAAAATTTAAAGGCATAATAACACCACTCAAACCTAAAACGAGATAAACACAAACTGGTTAGTTTATATGCTCTGTAAGCAGATCATGCTCCACATGTGTCATTCGTCCACATGTTGATCACGTAAGTACAAATGTTGTGATAAGTCTTAGTTGGTAGGTCACATTCGAGGAAATAGGACG